TACATTAACATATTTGAAGGGATATTTCTGCTACATGATGCAGATACAAATTAGAATTCAGTATGTAGTTACTAATACAAGGGAGTATAAAGCAGTGTAAAGTGCTTAGTTTGATAGTTTGACCTCCATTATTACGTTATCAAGAGATGATTGAACAGTGGTTTCTTTTTTTCTTATCATAAATCACTCGATAAACTGCTATTTTGATTTTTAACAGTCGTGATGCATTAGCACCTATCTTCTGAAATAATGCCATTCTTGTTGAAATCTCGCGACTGTCGTCCGTTTCGTCATGAAACGCTATGATTCCACGTCTGGATTCAAAGTCTCAACTTCAGCAATTTCTCGTGCTTTTTCTCTCATGAGTTCCCCATTAGATAGGTCATGCCAGTGTAAATCTGTCAGTTTCGTATCGTTTTTTTAAACCTCTAATTTTAGCTGCTTAGCAAGCTTCGCTCCTGTTTTTCAGATGAAGTGCAGACAGATTTTTTCCCAAGCTGAAGATTCATGCAATTTCGTGTAATCCATCGCATATCCATGCAACTTTTCGTATGGCTTGCTACATATTATAGGATCTTCAAAAGTCTGGTACCGTTAAATCAGGATCTCTCGCTTGATAAACTGTTGGCATTGTTCTACTTGCAGTTTTGACATGAATAATTGACCCTAGCACAATTGTGTACAAACCATTAAATGGAATGGAATTTGTAAGTTCAAACTTATACCTGGGCGCCTTCACTCCATTGCATCTTTTCGTACATGAAGTCGACAAACGTTGCGCTATCCGCTCCGTTCAGCGTTCCCCCAATGAGGGTTACGACAAACGTGTTTGTGCCCTGAATGAAGCAACGCCAATTGACAGAGATTTTTTTCCATATATGCTATTTGTACCTGATTCCTTGAAGCGGACACGTCTTCGAAACTGATCATCACGACGGACCTGGCCATGAAGCTCGGAAGGTTAAAGTGTTGCGAAATCATGTCAGTGGCCGCTGTCAGTACGACCGACTCTGTGCTTTCTTGTACGCTGACAGTGCCGTTACTTTGAGTGAGGTCGATGCGACCGTAAAATGGGGCGAATCCTCGAAAACCGCTGTTTTCGATAGGGTCTTCGTAGCGAACGGGAAGGATGTTGTTCAGTGAAACCAGCCCGCTGCTGGATATCTAAAAATATTCTAGCAGCTTGAAAGGGTCGGTCGAACAGCTGATTGATAGCTTTACCGTTAGCTTGTGCACCTGTCGGCCAAAGATCACAAGCGGCTGCTTCAAATCGTAGAGCAGGTGAGACAGCGAGCGTCTGGGCAAAGCGAACTGGCCACCGGAGCGTTGGTGTGAAGCCAGATCTGAGGTGGTGGGAGCAGCGTCATTCAGAGGACCAATGAGCGATCAGTAATGACACTTACCGTTGTGAGTGTTTAACCTGACAGGTGGCGGCGCATGAGTGGCAACGAGTTCTTCCGGGATAGTCGTTCTCTTTCCTTGATGATCGATGGTCGTCGTCGTGAACTTGCTTGTCCCAGCAGCGATGGTCGTCGTAAGAAAAGTCCTCGTGACTCTTGGAGTTTCGGTGGGGATGCGTATCGGGTGAACCGTCGTTTCTCGTACACACACCGTCCCGTTGCCTGTAAAACCGGGCAGACACTGACAGAAGTATTTTCCGGGCGTGTTGACGCACTGCGCATTTCTGTCACAGACTTTCGCCTCGCACTCGTCGATGTCTAAATAGGGAAGACGCTGTTTGAAAGCGGAAGAGGCCTTTGGCTGATTTTGCTTGTACCGCAATGAATTTTATTATTAAGCGCAAAACCGCCAGTCATGCTGTCCTGCTGGTGTTGCAGGATGACGGTTGGATAAAACTGAAACAATGACTGTGCCAATGGCTACCATGCCAGATAACAGCTGGGCATCAAAATTTAGGTTATTGTGTTGTTTGAGTTCTGTTAGCCTTAGTTGACGATGATGAAGCAACAACAACCATGCAACAGCAAAAGCAACATTGAAGATTGAATTGCATTTTTTTGTGCACTAATACTCGCACTAAAATATACCATAGAAGTTGCCTAATTGTACAGAACGCAAAGTATCTTCTCGAGGAGATGCTCCAATGCGACGAGAGTTTCACATGGTGCAACACGTGATGGAAGGCGGGTAGACTCAGTGGCATGTGTTTGCTGAGATAATCATCTAGAGTGGTTTCCATAAACAGAATATCTCTGGCGTGGGATATTCGCTGCATTCGCATCCGTTCAACACTTGCGTGAGGCATAGAGTACTGTATTATAATCTCCGAAAGCTACTATGTTCCTACCGACCTCTCTCCGTATTGCATGCTTGCCCCCTGGTCAATGTTTGCTTTTTGGCTCCCACACGAGAAGCCCATGGGCCGAAGTAAGTGGCTTATGCTAAACCAGTTTGTGTAACAGGACCAGTTCCTTTTCTTAACCTCCATATCTACTGAGGTCATCTGTGCCAGAAAGAAACGAGAGCAATTCT